CATCTGTGGTGTGCAGTGATGGGAAGTGAACCGTGGCCTTTCTGCTAGAAAGGATCCATGCCTGGTCGCCGTGCTGTTAAAGCACATATAGGAATGTAGGAAACACCCCTCAGAAATGGTCGTGGAGGAGTGAGACCAGTTCTTTGACACTCAAACCCAGAAGCAGCTCCTCTTTACTGAATTCAGCGCATGCTACCCTTCATATCAGCTGCTTCTTACCTCGGGGTCAGGATCCCATATGGGTCACCCCCAATACAACTGGGTTTGAGAGCCCTATGGAAGTTCGGTTACTTCAGAAAAGGTCAAGACAAAAGTTAGGGTCTCGTGCAGCGGACCTGAAGTTGGGTCACGAGAATCAGAGGGAGGTCATGGCACAAAACCATTGGGAACTGAGGCTTTATGTTAGTCTCGGTCTGTGCTGGCCTTTGCACTAACAGTGGAGGTGAGCCTGAGCTATGGGATGTGGGGCTGTCTCAGTCCCAATTACTGAAGATCCTTTTTATGAAAACCAAGAGTAACTGAGATTTAGATCTGGATCTGAAATGTCCCAAAGATCCAGAAAGTCAATACAGGCTTTGCTCCATGTCTGTCTCTCTCCAATATTCAATACACACCTGTCATTTTTCCATATGTAGAAATGAAGGCAGCTGAGATTCAGCTTGGGAAGATCTCTCCGGGACTTTCCAGGAGTGTTTATTTGCCTTCCCTCTCCATGGTATGCAAGTGCCTTATAACACCTAAATTGAGACCTCCAGAATCTGAAAAATGCATTAAGATTATCACTGCCTTGCAAAAAAGAAAGCCAAACCCTGTGCTCCACCCATCAGAAAACCAGGATTTAATGAGTTGAATATGAGCTGGGCACCAAGATCAGTTGTAAGTTCGTGCTTAGTTGTCTTTCTACCAGGAGGGAATCCCAGAGGTGCCAACCTGCCACCGTGAAAGCCCAATCCATAACCCACACAAGTCTCACCTAGAGAGCATGTGCCTGGAGTGTGATTATTTATTCCATGTATTGCCAACCTTCCCAAAGAGGCTCAGGGCAACAACAAAAAAGACAAAATGTCATATGAAAATAGAATAAAATACAAAAATAAGCAAATAGATTAAAACAAACTCCCCTTCCCTGCAGGCAAGGGGTAGCAATGTTAGCAGTCCCTCCTCATCTGGGGACTATTGCAGTCCACGGGGCGCTGGAGCAGGCAGCAGAAGAAGCAGTGTCTAGCCCGAAGCCCGTAGGCTGGCTGCGCCTTTCCCTTTCCCCGCTCAGGTGGCCAGGGATGCTGTAGGAGCAACTTTGCCCCTGCGGGAGACAACTGTCTCAATACTCCAGTTGCTTGGCGGCCAATATACGTCCAACCAGTCACGCTAAAAACAGTGCAGATTCAGACCCACTGTGAGATATCTTAGCCCCATCTGACGGAGGGAGGCAGGGAGTGAAGACAACTAAGAGGTCTGGAGCCACCCCGTCAACAGCAGATCCAGGCATTCAGCTTCGTTTGTAGCTCCTGGCCTCTTCTCCAGGGACGAGACCCCACTGCCATCCCTTTCCTTCGCTCCCCAGGTAGGAAGGGAGCAAGCAAACGGCTCATGGCAAGCATGCCCCAGCCGTTCAGAACGGCATTATTGATGAGACAATGCTGCAATAGGCATGACTCACACATAGGTTTATACTAGCAAGCTGGTGCCAGTTCACATCTCAGAGACACCTACGGAAGCATCAAAATGTGAAGAAACCGTGGGATTAAATAACTCAGCCTTATGTAAGGCGTCTCTGTTTCTGTTAGCACCTCAGCTCTGTGAACTAACAAACACCCCTTATCGACATCCCAGAGCCCTGGTGGAAGAGGGTCTCGAGATTTACCTTGTGATCCGCACAGACACCATCAAATAAAATCTGTCTTTGTTCGCCACGCGCCAGTTTGCAGTATATCCATCTAACCTATATATAGAGCTACCTCGGTATAGGTTAAACACGGAGGTCTCTGCAAAAAACAACCTGTTGTTGGTGATGATCCCACTTGCACTCAGCCCACAAACCCACCATCGCTGGCACTGCCGGAGAGGAAGGCTGGTCAGGAGACTGAGGCACTTAAGGGGCACTTAGGCAAACTGGTTGTATCTCTAGCTCTGCCCTAGGCTTGCTGGGTGACCCTGGGCAAGTCATTTTACTGTTCTGTGCTTTAATTTTCCCACCTGAGAAATGAGGTTATTCAATATTCATACCTATCTCCTTTTGCAAATGGCTTGAGCTCAGGAAAAGTGCTGTTTAAGAGTCATGTGGGATCTTATCTGTAAAATGGGGGCAATAACACTTACCTCCCCTTACTGGGGCAGTGTGAGGGTAAATTGATTCATGCTCCCGTGACAGCTCCAGTACCGTGATGACGGCAGCTTTAAAAAGCCTGTAAATAGATCTCTCTGAGGCTTCAAACTTGTAAGCAACATTTCTGTAGCTATTATTTTCTTTCATAAAGTGGTGCCAGAAATATTTCTAAAC